GCGCCTATTTAGCAGCAGATTTGTTGACAAATTTCATAAAGAGCCACTTTTGAAGTAAATGGAGCGTGTAAATGACAGAAACGTCAGTCAGAGCCAGCTTTGCTGCAGCATTTGCCGAGATTTCCGATAAGCGTTTACAAGCAGCACGCTCAGCAGCCCTCGCTGACTAAACAAAGACGCGCAGGGCCTCCCTTAGGCTTTCAGAACTTGGGAATCTTGCTCATTACCCACAGAGGGGCACTTTCTGAGGGCCGATTCAGCCCCCCCAGCCCGGTTAGCTCTGCCAGCAGCAGGTTCCCGGTGCGGCCGAGGAGTCCGAGCAGCGGGCAGGCCGCAGGAGCGGCGCCCGGGGCCTACTGACGAAGCATTTCTGCCGGGCCAGCCAGCTGTGGCGGCGCCCATCGCAGCCCCAGCGCCCAGAGCAGAAGGAGCAGAGCACACGGAACGCGGCCAGGCGCCGCCAGCCGCCGCCCCGCCAGGCCCTTCCCTTCCTTTCCCTTCCCTTCCTCCCCCGGCTCCTCCATCCCCTCAGCGCGGCGCCGCCGCCATTTTGTGAGCGCGGCGGCCGCGGGCCCCGGGCTCACCTTTGAGGGTGGAGCGCTCCACCAGCACCGTGTGGACCTGCGGGTCGGAGAGGAATTTGCGCATATGCTCCACGGCGCCCTTCTCCTCCAGCGCCGCCTCCAGCACCGCCGGCGCTTCGCCGCCATCCTCCAGCAGCAGCGGCACCAGCTTGCGCAGGTGCTTCTGCAGCACCGCCACATCGGCCACGTTCTGCACGGCCGAGCCCGACACCTCCATGCCGCCTTCCTCGCCGCCGGGGCCGCCGCCCCCGCCGCCGCCGGAGTCGGACATGCCGAGGCAGGAGGCAGGCGGCCGCGCTCCGCCCGCTCCGCCACCGCCCGCCGCGCTCCCAGCGCCGCCTTGCTGCCGCGGGGGAGGCTGCGCCGGGCGGGCCGACACGCCCCGGGGCCGGGCCGGGCTCCGGGCTGCGCTGCTGCTGGCTTCGAGCCCCGGAGGAGGCTGCCGAGAGACCCGGCTGCGCCCCCCGGAGGTCCCCGAGCCGCCCCCCGGGCTGAGAGGGGGGGAGATGGAGGTCGGGCGTCGCAGGGCGGCGGCTGCTTCCCCTCCCTCCCCTCTGCTTTAGCGGGAAGCACCAGCGAGGGGTGTGTGTGGGCTTTTGTTCGAGTTATTTGTGCTGAGGGGGAAAGCAGGCCGCGCCTGCCGCTGCGAGGGCAAGGGAAGGGAAAATGAGAAAGGAGCCTGTACTGCCCCTGGTTCACCTGGACTCTGAGGTGTCCAAATAGAATAGAAGCGACCTGAGGGATGACCCACTTCCAACCCTCTGCCATAGGCAGGGATCCCACCCCCTAGATGAGGTTGCTCCGAGCCCCATCCAACCTGGCCTTAAACAGCCCCAGGGATGGCTGTCCACTTGTGCCAGTGATAAACCACCTTCATGAATTTCTTCTTTTAGGTTTAGATGAGATAAGAAGCCCTTAGCCCTTGTCCTATCACTACATTCCCGCATAAAGGGTCCCTCCCCAGCTGCCCAGTAGACCCCTTCTAAGTACAGGAAAGTCACAATGAAGTCTTCCTCGAGCCTCCTCTCCTCTAGACTAAATAACCCCACCTGTCTCAGTATTTCTTCATAGGAGAGGTGCTCATCCTCATGGGACTCCTCTGGACCCTGTATCTGAACCACTAATCCAGATTGTAGTGCCAGACAGTTTCCCAAAAGCATAGGACAGAATACCAAATAAACACACTGATGAACAAGACTTTTTTCTGAATTTCATTTTTGAAAAACCTTAATCTTCCTTTACCACTGCTTGCCTAAGTTATCAGATGAATCCAGCTCACTGCCACAAAGATGGACAATCCTGTTCCTCCTTGCCCAGTGTAGTCTCTTCCCTTGCCTGGTCCTGGCTCACAGCTGCTGCTGGTTTAGCAAACAGAAAACCAAAGGAGAACATGCCTGAGAGACAGGAGGTAGCAGTCAAGGTCCAGAGCAACTCCCCAGGCCCCAACAAAGCACATTGGAGGCACTGGGTGACCACAGACTGAAAACTCCACTTCTTGTTCCTGTGGTGAAGGGGAAACCCCCAAAGAGAAAATAAAATTCTCTCAGAACTCCTCATGCATTTCCCTAGGTGGTCACTGAGGCAAATCAATGTGCACAGAGACCCTCACACTCAGGATCTGTTCAGATGTGTCCAGAAAGCCCAGCCGCATACCCCAGCTTCTCTGTTTCAACCCCCCAAAACACGCATATGCTCAGTACGCTCCTAAGTGGCTTCGGAACCCAGTGTATCTCGGAAAACCAGTGATTTCTGAAGTAATACAAATCTCAAACCTTTCTTCTCTGGAAGGAAAATGATCAATTCAGCAACCAGTTTTCACATACAAGCACCAGAAGTGATACAGATGATCCAACCAAAACTGATCAAAACCATTTAAATTTTCACCCCCCAAACCCTTTTTGTTAGAAAGGTAAATTTTTATTTTTGATGAAAAAAAATAGTCATAGGTACTTAAGTCAGTTGAATGTCCTATTTAAGGAACACAGTTACTGAGTTAAGTATTTAATAAAATACCCTCCTATTTTCATTCTGCCTGGCTGCTTCCCAGGGGGGAGAATAACCATTTACTACTCATCTCTGCATAGTATACGTCAGTTCAGGCCATGCATCTAGAAAATACGTTAACTGAACAGCCCAGCCCAAGTGTAACTTGGCAGAGATGAAAAATAAGAATCCAGGTAATTATATCCACTACTGCTGAATCACAGAGAGTGTCAAAAAAAAAAAAAAAAAAAAAAAAAAAGAAAAACCAGCAAGTCTTACATTACTTAGAAAAAGCACATACAAAAATATTCTGTGACAAGACTATAATGAAGAACAAATGTATAGGACTTTGATAACAAAGTGTCAAAGATAAACTTTTTTTTTTTTTTGCACAGCTTCTCAGGTTCAAGTAAAATCTATGGGAAGAATAGGCTCAATTAGAGTGAAAAATCATTTCCCCTTGATCTATCTCAAGTTGACTATGAATATCCTTTTCTTGGATATTCATCAAAACACAGAGAAAGTATCAAAAACACAGAGAAAGACTTCTCCAGGCAGGGTACTAGTAAAAAGCATGATCTATTATTATGGCAAGACCTTCACACAGGCATGAATGCTCCTGCGGTCTTCTGGTCCACAAAAATGCCTAAAATAACTTGAAGCAAATTATGTGAATGCTCTCTTCTCTTTATATTAAAACAGTGGAAGCCTTTTCCACTCAAAATCCTATGGTGGAAGCCTCTGAAACTTCACATTTTGTGTGTGTAATCCTCTCCTTGTGCGGGAGTGAATGCAGTCCCAATATGAATCTGTTCAGGGAAAAGCAGCTGCAGTCATGCTGCTCTCCAATTATGTGATGAAGGAATAATGCATCATCATCCTTCGCTCCACAGTAAATTCCCCCTTGGGAAATTTTTCACACACAGTATTTAACTACATCAAAGTTTTTTTTACTTCATAAGGTAAAGGCAGCTCAAGCCAAGTCTCATCATTTAAAATAAACTATAATCCAGGGAGACAGGGATATGGTAATTAGAATGGCATTTCTTAATTAGCTATATGCAGTCTGAGCCTCCACAATTATTATGCACAGGAAGGATAAGATTCTAGGAGGAAAAGCGTTCCACTTTCAGGCGGATGGTCCATACCAGGATCCAAGCCAACCCTCCCCATGAACTGGAATCCTGGAAGTAGTCTTTCCAAGGTACTAGAGCAGTTTTCAGAGAGTAAAACAAGCCTCCAAACGCAAGTGTATCTATGCCACACTTGCACCTACCTTTCTGCTTCTAAAAAGCCTTACCAAGCTAGCAATGTCAAAAAAAAAAAAAAAAAAAAAGTTGTTGGTCAAAGCCCTGAAGTTTAATTCCCATAGACAAAAATGGTTAGTTCCTCCTCTCCCACTTCCTGAACATGATCGCGACTCAAGTGTATTTGTATAGCAAAAAAAAGGTCAGAACCACCACTATTTTAAAACAGTAGCTACTGTTGTATTTTGAAAGATATTTGATCCTAATTTTGTAAACAGAATGAATGACTGAATCATCACTTGTTTCAGTATCTAGTGTTTTGATTTATGATTAAGTTTGGGACTGCATGTGATGAGTTTTAGCTCATGCAGAAAACTCGACTTCTTTAGACACACAAAGACTTCACAGGGAGGTGGCTACTGAATTTAGGTGTCTCCAAAATGAGTAGGTTATTAGCAGAGTTCTTTGGACTGAATGTTACATTTGTAACTCAATAGTCAGATATTGATCTTGGGCCTCTGGAAAAAGAAAATCCCCCCAGAAACAAACAAAACCAACTCCACTCCCATCCCTGCATCCCAAACCACCCAAACAGAAAACTGTAACAAGCAAAAAGCCTGAACAGATTTGTATTAGCATTCAAAACACAAAACAAAAAATCCCAACCAACATCTCTCCCCCCCCCCCCCCCAATTTGAAAGTCAAGCTTTATGTGAGCTATTACCTTAGTTCTTTTGGAGACTTTTGGGGGTTCCAAAGGGGAAAAAAAAAAAAAAGATCTTTTCTTATGTCCTTGCCATCTGACCACTCATCACCTACCCACACCATAATCCTTTATGGCTACTTTGTTTGAAGCCTGTCAATATAAGTGCTACATGGGAAAACGTTATACTATAAAATGTTTTTTTGTATGTGTGGACTGGAAATTTATCAATTTATTTTCAGTACCGATACCTATTCTAGAAGCTAAGTTTGCTTTTTCTATTGAACATATATTAGCCCCTATACCTTTATTAATAATATTCCCACAAAATTCCTGTTTTTTTTTTTTTTTTAGGATTAGGGTGTTTTGTGAAACTTCTGAAATTATTTTTTTCTTTAATTCACATAGCTAATTCTGCAAACTATGATAATCTGAACACACCCCCAAAGGCCCTGAGCTAAATTTAGTTTCATGATGAGCAAGTAAAATTCACATGTTCTTTATTTGTCCATATAATACACCACTTTTTTGTTGTTTTGTTTTAAAATTAGATAAAAGCATATTAAATGGCAGGTGTATGAAGTTCTTCAGAAACAATGCCAGAACAAAAAATTGAATTACAAAATGTTAAAAAATATGTAGGTACATTTGAACTTAACATTCCACTAACAGTGTTACAGAAATTGTCTAATGAAAAATAATTGTTCCACTTACCTATTTTTGCTGTTTCTAGGAACTTTTTATTCTGTACATAGGACGATTCTGTACAAAATATGAAGTCTACATTTTTATTACTTATTACCATAAAACAAGGTACAATGTATGTACAATATTAAAATGAAGCCATACTAAAGCCACACTAAAAAGACACTTGTAATATTACTTTTGACATTCCTGATGTACAGGTGTAATTTTGGAGAACAGGAAAAGGTGTCAAACATAGAACTTTATGAAGAACAACAGTCACCAAAATTCTACTTTTTTTAAATTTTTATTTTGGATATATTAGTTTTAGAATGGTTTAATAAAGGGTTATAAGTATATAAATATTGATAATAAACATCCTAAACCATTAGTGGTAATAGATTTGGAATGTGCCTAAACAAATGTCCAGTGGCCCAAACTTCAAATACGAATTTATGGTGAAATTTAAGTCTCTAAACATTTCCCTTTTTGGTGAGTGTTTATCTTCAATAAAGAACAGAAATTAAATCTAGACAGTGAAAGATGTTCTTATACGTTGAGCATCACACAATCAATCAAATATTGATATACATTTTTTTTTCCCTTGGGTAACATAAGAATAATTCCTTTCAGCAACCTCTTGCACAAACATACTGAACACCCAAAATCAAAGGTAACTGATAATCTACCAGCTAAAGATGGAAGTTCAAACAATGGTATATCAAAATACATAGACATTGCTTTACACAATTAAAAAAGCACCCTTTTTCCCTCAAAAGGAGAAGGCATCTTTAAACTTCTTTTAATATAGTTTATCCTAATGGTAAAGCATATTCTTTTTCAAGTTTTACAGGAAATGTTTTCAGACGCAGTGGACGTTCCACTTAAAGGTTGGGTTGGTCTTTAAATTTAGTTGTTGTAAGCCAATGTTTACCACCGACAATTTTCTTCCAATAGACAACGTAACAAATATTGGAAATTGTATGTTAAATGCAACCAACAAACAGCAGGCACTACATCTGCACAAGGTTACTATGAATGTCTGCTTTGCGCAATATTTTCATGGATGCAGGAGACGTTATACTTCCTTAAAAAATAAAACAAAACTATTTTTAAAGAAGCCACGTTTTTATCTCTTTATGCATCAAGACATTAAACATAGTTATATCATGTTACTGCCAGAGACAAAAGAAACTAACCACCCACTTAGAATAGCAGAACACATTTCAAACAGCTTGTAAGCAGGATAAGTAAGTCAAAATACTGGCCACCCTGAGAGAAATCAAATATTGAAGACAAAGCACTATATTTTAAAAGAGATTTTCCTCCCGTGCTTTTCCATCTACAACAAAAAGCTCATTACATGCAAGTAATCTTGTGGAATATATAGCAGCATTTGAAGATCATCAGCAATTCAGATGCATTTTCAGTTCACTTGTGAGGTGTATTTGCAGCAAATATGCTCTTTACAACTACAACAAAAAATATTTTCACGGTAAAATTATGGTCACTATCCCCTCAGCTCTTAGACTCTTAAAAAAGAAGCAGAATGGAATTCAAGGGTCTGTTCTTTTTCTCATTTTACTTAATTACACAAGCTTGTAATGTTTTGTTTCCTGAAAGGCTACGTTCATCTTTCAGATAAAAACTGATGCAGCTGAAATGACACACAATATCTGCCATGGAATACTGAACTCCTAGAGCCCAAGAAAAATGCTGAGTATTAAAAGCTCAGATAAGGGAGAAAACAGTGAAAGAGTATTTTATTGACTTGGAAAAAAAATTAAAATGAAATTTTATATTCAATCTATTCCCAGTCATCGTAAACAAATTTTCATTTTAGGAAAAATTCTTTTACCAGTTCATATCTCAAATACTGGTGCCGTATTATATACTAGAGACTGGAAAATATGGCTTTAAATATACATAAAGTATTAGGACATGGAATATATAGATCTATATCTTTATCCTAAGTAAAGGAGAAAAAAAATTACATAATTCTTAGAAAGAAATCATGATTGAGGATTGTCGTGAAAGTTATCAGTTTGTAAGCCATGTTTTATAGTATGAAAGAACAATTGTGTATTTTCAAAACTGCTGGTATATTACAAGACAGCAATAACGTGGAAACAACTATAAAGTTGAGAAATCCTACAAAAAGTTTATTAATTAAATCTGAAATAATTTTGCTTTTGAAAATACACGTTTATCATCAGTACCAACGATTGGTCATTCATTTCTTTAGGTGGAAATAGTTCATAGAATGCTCTTCTCAAATATGAAGATAAAAAACTACGTTATCAGCTAGCTGGTACTATGATAACACCTCCAGGAAATTGTGTCCACTTGATTATAGTCAACCCGACATTCTGCATTTGGAATTGGGTAATTTACCATTGTTTGAACTACTAATCTTGAGCTGCATACTCTATTAAGTTATTGCCTACAGAACTGGGTTGAAGAAAGCTTTGACTTTGTGTGTAACTGATTGGTATGGCACAAAAAAGTAAGTTCTACTGTAGAACTGAGTCCAGAAAAAAAAACAAAAACAACTTTTCCTTCAAAATAATATTTCACTGTAAATAGTTTAATGCCCATCATGTGATATTAATTCATCAGCTCTGCAATGTGATTCCAAGGCTTTCATGGTATAGATATCCTGAGGCAGTTCTGACTTGCGTCGCACGAGAGGACGATCTTTTTTCTGATCTTTCTGTGCCTGAAATCAAAATGGAACAAAGTTAACCAAAAATATTAATTATTGAACAATTATTTTAAAATATTTCTTTCATATCAGAATGTTCACTTTCCTTTCAGGGACTGAAACAAAAAAGGATAAGAAAAAGTTTTTTACTGTCTCCTGTTTATTCCACCAGCTATCCAGTCTCAAGTCTTGAAACAATTTCTTTTTACTAAGAAAATACAATTAAAAAAAAAAAGAAACAAGAGCTGCTAGCATTTGTGTTACTACTATGATTGTCCCTTGATTATAACCTTCCTTAAAACAAAAAAGTCCTCTCCTTGTACTATTTTTCATTTTGTGTTTCTCTACATCCTAGATAAATGATCTTAGTTTCTTCCATGCTTGTTTACTTGCACCATTCACATATCTGAAAATTTAAGGTTCTCCTGTGTTAGAGTACTGATGCTCTGTCAAAACCAAACAATATTCCTGTCAAAGTATCATAAAACTGAATAATAATGCCTTCATACGGTCCTCATGTCCTTCTCATCTACCCTAATTCAGCTGTTAGATCACTGATGTTAATTCATGTTCTTTAACAAATTATCCTCAAAGTCTGAGCTGTCTGCATGAACGCAAACCTAACAAGATGACTGAGAAAGGAGACTGATTTTCTACAGATATTCTCATCCACCCCCCACACTCCTCCCTTCCCCATCTGTTACACTGCCCCATACATCCAAGCTCAGTTAGGTCTGCACTTTCTCACCCCATACAATTTCATTTAACCCATACAACTGCAATCTGCAAGTGGTGTCACCTCACATTTCTCCCCCTCTTTCTCAGGTACAGTGAACATTACATAATAAATCTGGCATGCTGCTGTTTGGTTCTTCTCACACAGAAAAGCAACCATTTATTCTCTTTTTTTCTTCCTTTGTTCCCCAACAGCCCTATAAAAGGGCTCAAAAACCAGAAAGGCCCATATAAAAACTGAGCAGCTTTTACTTTGCCTTTGTTTCACTAGCATGTTCACGAAGTTAGTAGTATGTGGTGGTCAAATTCAGCTTTACCAGAGTCCAGTATAGAAGCTGTAGTCCAGTACAGAAGAAAAGCTGTTCTACTTTCCTCAGCCATTCTAGCAGCACCTCTTCAATACTGACACTCTGCTATATTCCAAACCTCTGACAAAGCCTTATTTTCCCTGAAACTGGATAGATCTTGACATAGTTCTCACTTCTCAAGTTTGATTTTAAAAACACTAGATTTTGCTTTTGACTTTAAACTGGTAACTCTTGTGGATCGTTTTAACATCAATTTCTGATAGTACTTAGCAAGGGATATGTAGTTCTCTACAGTGTCCGCTCATAAATTTAAGAATCCTACCTGCATTTAGCCTGCTATCTACAGTGCCCTAAACCTTAATCAATCTTTTTCCCTCTCTAGCGAGCCACTTACCAATCCTCTTGCTTTATACTTCTCAGAGTTATCTCTAAGTTTCTGTTAATAATAACTCCTGCTTCAAAACATCCCATTAGCTCTGCTAAGACAGGATCTTTATCTTTGAAAAATCTCATTTACCTCTTGCACACTTTCTGAACATAGAAAAGCAGGAAAGCATGCACTTGGAGTGATGGTTAAAGAACACTTCAACAGCTCTAAACTAAGTTTTGGAATTTTATTTATTTTTACAGTTTGTTTCTTTTCCATTAGCTTCACTGCAATCCACTCCAGAAGTGGCTGTTTAAAAGCCAGCTGTCACAGAGCATAACTTTGAGGCATATATATGTGTGTGTATATATATAGATATACATGTATAATACACATATGTATTTGTGCATATATATGTATTTTTTAACTTCAATCTACTGGATGCAAAATGCCATATTTCTTATAATACATAAAATACGATAATACATAAATATAATTTTAATTAATTAATGAATTCTACAAAATTAATGTGGAACGTTACGCTCACCATATGCTTATTTTTATTAAATTCCTTGTCTGATACTTTTGTTAAACAGAATTTATCTCCTATCTCAGCCACTCATTGAGATCACTTCTCTAGTCTCAAAAATTGCTGGATATAGATTTATTCATACTACTGACATTCTACCAGACATCTTAGTGATATTGCAGTACTCCCTGTTATTTCACCATCTTCCATTAGCTCCTAGTTCAAATAGTTCTCCAAATGTCTAGTTTTAATGTCAGGACTCTTATTCCACTTAATTGAATATAAAAAAGTCCTGAAGATCACTAACCATAAGCTAATGACAATTGGAATGGCCTTCAGACTCTGCCTTTTACTAGGTAATGGAACATGACAGATGGTGGATTGAGGAAAACAGCCTATGTGTAGGCAAGGCAAGTTTTATGGTGGACACTTCATAAATTTTGTCAGAACATAGTAGCTATAGCCAAAAAGAAGGCTCTGAATAACAGACAAAAGAAGCATCATTGTTAGAATCTGACTATTTTAAACATGATTTTTTTTAAATAAACAAAACTGGTATATAGAGAACACTGGATTTTAGCCATATTTTTAATTATCCTTAAAGCATAGCCTTTGTTTCTGCCATGACTCAGACAGCTGTTTCTAAGTTGAAAGGAAACAAAATATTTGCAGAACTATCTAAAGAGACCCATACAGCAGATCCACAGGCATAACTGTATATAATAATCTATTCCTTGCTGCTACAGTATCACTTTAAAGTAGCAGCTCTAATGAAGTTTATTACTTTAGGAGACAACAGTGAGAGATGAAAATGTAACTCAAATTCATTTATAGGATTAACCAAGTAAATAAAATTAAGAATAAATTATAAATCTGGCAGAGTTGCTAATTCAATTTGTAACGAGTGCTTTATTATTTTCACATAGCTTTACCTGACAAGCCTCTTCTTTCACTGTCTTTTTCAGCATCTGCAAATCTTCAATTAAAGGCCCATCTGTTTCCATTGCAACAGGACTGTTCATCAAACTCGTGTCACTATATGTTGGGTACTAATAAAATGCAAAGTGTTAAAATAGTCATTTTTAGTAGTAATACCTAAAAACTAAGCGTGATTTAGAGCACTTGAATGTTACAATTGAGATTAACTTCAATATCTTATGCTTCTAGGTACCAAGTAATAAATTTCCTCCCAAGTGCACATGAAAGATGGAGAAAAATGGAACTCCAATACTTTCATTTTGGCAGAAATGTCCTGTTGAAAAATACAGTCAGAATATGAAAAATATGTTTTATCTGAGACTGAATTTGAAAATATATTCAGATTTTGCCAGTATCGATGTTCTATTCTGGTAACTGAAACCCTATTTATACATTCTCTAGTGATTTATGAGCAGTGTAGCAACCTAAACACAATGATTTAACTTGCTGGTGCAATTTTATATTTGTAAAGAAAATATACTGTTAAAAACACAATTTGGCTAATACAGATGTAAAATAATTTCAAAATCAAATACTTGCTTAAGACAAAAAAGTTTGATAAAGCAGCCATTCAAGTATTTTGTGAATTAAAAAAAAGCTATGAAAACAGCTGTATAGTATCTAAAGTTTGCTGTAAACTAAATCAAAATACTGCAATCTCAATGGTTTATCAATAGCTTAAGTTCTATTTTAATTCAGATGAGATGTGGTCTTTAAACCAAAACTCATTTATGAACACACACGCACTTTCTCAACCATTTTTCTTCAAAAATATTTTAGTATCTAAGTGTACCCATAACATAATGCATGACACTGACAGCAAGGATTTAACAAATTATTTATCAAGATCTAAAAACCTTAAAATGTATTCTTGTGCCATGTAGAGTAAGGAATAGCTCTGAACGAGAATTGTCAGTAAATAGACAAAGTAAACATTAATAGAAATTCATGGTGGGAAGTGGAACTGCTAAAATCCATTACAGAGTATGCTAGAAGCACCTAGACACCTATGTCAATTCTTTATTCAGTGGAGCACTCAGTGTTCAAATTAATCATATTTTAATTGCTTGCAATTATCAGCTCTCTTCAAAACTACTATTCGGAATATAATGTATACAACGTTGTGCTTACCAGTTTCAGAAAATGTACTGAGTTACCAAGTTAATTGGGAAGAAAAGCAATTTTACTCTGCAGTACTGTACATTTTACTACCACAAGTCTACCCACTTCTTTAGTCAGACATGCCACCGTTTGTGCTAGCAAGTGACCGTGTATATCAAACACTCTTCAACCAGGGCTTTTGTATGGACTATCTGATTAGAGAATGTTCTGTCACTGAAAAACAAGTGCTACTTTCATTACACGTAGTTTTTAAATTCATTTAACTGATCTGTTGTCAATAGTGGTACCAAATGATTGGAACATTTTTTTTTTATTTGAGCACACTAATAGTAGTTCCCTGAGAAATGCCACAAGAGGAAATAAACATTTTTGAAATTCCTTCTCCTTTGAAAAAAAAAGATGACCCCATAATTTGTTTTAAAATAGCACTGAGATCATAAAGTGTCCTGCTGCCATTCATATAGTACCATTACTCAATCTTCCACCACTTAAACTCTGAGTTGCAAAGACACAGTACAGTAAGTTTCTTGCTGCGAAGTAATTGAAACATTTTTTTCCTCATAGCAGCAAATCAGCATGGTTGAGATAAAGAAAAATGATCTTTCAGAAAAAAATAAATATAGCAGCATTCCCCAAGCAATGGGAGGGTGGGTAAGTGGGGGGAAAACCAGGTTGAACCATCCCATGATCTCAAAATAAGTAGTCTAAAGGAACCTTTCTTTATCAAAATTTCAATAATGTTAAGTTACTTTGACAAATGCCTGACAGGATGCTTTCCCTTTTAGCAAGAACCTGACGTGCAGGTCCATCAGAAGACCAGCCCATTGCAAACATGAAAACAAATGCAGCAGACAAGAATGTACAATATTACTTTAATCCATTTGACACAGAGGAAAACTGACCAGTCAGTAACTCACAGTTTGCAGAAAGATCTCTTTTGTAATATATTGTTTGCAAAACAGCTTTTCAAGAGAAACCACTTATGGCATCTCTATATTTTCCATAATTTTGCACAATAACTTTTCAAACCGCAATACAGTATATTTCCTATTGTAAGAAAAGGAAAAAGTACTTCACATCATATTTTTCAGAAACTTTTTTTTCTTTTTAAATAATTACTTGCACAAGAGAAAGGTTACAAATTTTAAAAGTACTTTTATTGTATATCTTTCATAATACAATTAGTGAAATTGCTTTATTTCCATGATCAGTCAGACCTGTTTCCCCCGCTGATATTTAACAAAACTAAAGTATTTAAACATGAACATGTTATGTTAATCTTTTCTAAATACCTGGGGATTTGATTTGGCTAGATTTTCTATTTTAACCCATGCTTCTTCCCGTTCCTTCAATTTTAGCTTCTCTCTGAAAAAAAAAAGTTTAAAAGCAAAAATAGCAAAAGCTTGGTGAATCTTGTATCACAACTTGCATACATTTTCTTAAATATGAAAAATTTCACCAGAACAAATTATTTGTCTATGCTTGTTTCAGCTTACCACTCAAAACACCACTTACTGTTGACAGGACAATTTGCATTATAGCAATACCCCATGATCTAAAAACAACATTAAAAGGAAACAAAACCAAGAACACCAATGCTCTCATGAAAGCAACAAACTGACTGACACCAGTTAGTCTTTAACTGTGTTAAAATGGTTACAACTCAAAAGTTTTGGTCTACGTGGAAGCATTTTAACTTTTGAATATATAAAAGGCAGGGATTCTTATTGTCAGCCCAACTGCTTTAGGTGATAATTTGAAATAAAACACCCAGGGATATTTTGTATTGAACACCAAAAAGAAGATAAAAGGTTTGATTCTTTATTCAGGAGTTGGACTTGATGATCTAAAGGGGTCCCTTCCAACTCGGGATATTCTATGGTTCTGTGATTTATGCCTGATGTAATTTAAATACTAAAAATTGTTTTTCCCCATTCTAATAGATAATCAACTTCATGCAGAGCCTAGAACACACATGCTTGCAATGTGGCAGAGTTTAAAAGGGCTTTTAGCTAAAGAGTGCTTGAAAAAGGCTTTCAGACTTCAAAATACTGAGCAGATGATCCATACTTAAAAACAAGTCTACACACAATTTGTCTCCAACTTTTCATTAAGCTAAGTTTGGAGTGGGGTAGAAGAATGCCCATCCCATCTAAACTGTGGTGCAGTGAGGGATTTTATTTTGCTTTAATGTAACCCTTAATACTCTGCTTGCCTTTGGTCACATTCAAGTGAAACACCACAAAAAAAAAACCAAACAAACAACACAAACAATCAACCACCAACCAAACAGCAACAACAAAAAAACAACCCCTCAAAACAACCAAAAAAGCCAACAGGCCTAAAACAAAGAAGAAAGGAGAAAAGACTGCCTTCTGATTTAAAATTGATTCTACTTATTCGCTGTAAGTGAAGAGAGAAATGTATAGTCTTCGTTCTTTTAAAAACAAAAAAGTAGTGATCACATTTTGATATGTATTTTAAAAAATTTATACTATACTACAAGCTTATTTCTACTGAAATCGTAATAAACACCCTCAAAATTTGGGCAAGTTAATCCACATTAGAAATGTATGTTACTTCCAGTATACTGTTTTAATATAGGTTTATAATTGGAAACATTACTTAAGGGAATCCTTGGTCACTTTGAAATTAAAAATGAAATTCAAATTGATGTATTTTCAATACTGTCTTTCTAACTATGCTCCCCAGTTTCTAAAATAAGCACTGAGTGATTAATAGATTTGACTTCTGGGACTCAAAATTATGTCCAGTGGGAAAAAGAAGAACAGAAGATAAGTGACATTATGATCATAAGATTTAGCCACGCTTTTGGGCATAAACCAGAAAAGTTCTAGCTTCCAATTCCCTGCCGTTTCACTGGCCTATGCAGGAATGCACTAAACTCATCAGGATTCTTCTGGCAAATAATGTATTACAAAAAAGTGACAACTTTGTCTTGGAGAATTTCTAGGAAAACATGCACATGTGCACACAATGCAATGCTGAAAATACACAAAAAGTGTTTTGGGAAGAACCGAGTGGTAACATGAGAGAAAACAACACTGGGTAAATAAAGCATGCTGAAGTAAGCATAGGATGTAAACTAAGCTGTTCAAGAGATCTTTTACACTGGGCTCCAGGATTAGCAGCATCTTTCTCCAAAAAATTACTTTTCATCAGGAAGATGGTGATTTGCAGCAAAGACTACATGAAGCACCCTATTCTGAAGATTTTAAAGAGTTCATATATGAGAAATTTCACCAAGTGAATTTTGAGACTTGTACTGTAATCAAACGGGCACAACTTCCCAGTAGAGAGACAGTTTTTCAGAGCTAAAGCACTCTGAACAAATTATTCAAGAACAGACAGACACACTGACATGAAAACTTACTTCAGTTTTTCTGCTTTAAATTGCTGTGTGCAGTCATCGAACAGTTTTTGGTTCATCTCCATGAAGAGTTTCAGAGCATTGTATATCAAGCCATGTATTGTCCTATAAGTAAAACTTCTGGTTGAAACTCAGAGTACTTTAAACTTTGAAATCTATTTTTTTTTTCTGGTCAACAGAAGCCAATAGCCTACATAACTGGAAAATTACATCATTTCAGGAAAAAAAACGGAAACAACACTAGTTAATGGAAGTTTCAGTTCACTCTCAGAAGGGCTAACATGAGTGCTAAAATTACCAGTTTACTTACTCTATAGTACTAGTCACATATACTTTTGAAGCTTGAACTTCATTTTTAATACTATGTGTTATCAGAACAGAGGACTAGGTTTGAAATTTAGTAGCTGACACTAACCAAGCTACAGTTATTACAGAAAAATGCAAGATTGTATTAAAGTTATTGATACAAGTAACATACTGGCAACTGACAAATCAAAGGGACTACAAGGAGCCTAGAAAAGACATCATTCATTTTGAAAACTGCCACACAGCAACAGCACTTCAACAGTTATGCCAGGACTCTTTGGAAAAGCGTTAGAAATGTGATATGGAAAACAACAGAAAAAAATAATCAAAAAACCCCATGTGCCTTATGAAGCACTTACTTCTACAGAGTAATTTGCAATTCTAGTCTAATCTCTTACTGATTATTACAACCAAAGAAAGAAGCAATCAGTTAAGTGATTACTTTGTATCATGCATGTGAGTTGCAAGCGAGAGTGCAGCTGTACTGGGTAGCATGACTTTGCTCAGAACAAAATGACTGCATGGCCTTGAAAGCCAGAAAAATAACTGAAAATCTGTATTGACTATGTATAATTGCATCACTGAATCACAGTTATTAATAAGTACATTATTTGTTACTGCTTACAATCAGTGATAGTAATCAATCACTTTAACATCACTTTATCTTCCATTTCTTTTCCTATGTTTAGTGGCAGATTTATTAGGTATTTTTGGCCAAACCCTCATCAGTCCTCAGTTCATGGCCAGCACTAGACTGTGATACTTTTACCATCCCAGCAGTTGCACAACAGCTCAAACAAAGAGGCCCTTCACAATGGAACAGCTGCAGAAAGGAGCTGACCAGGACTGTTTTCATGCGTAAGTACTATGTTATTGTGGGAAAAAAAGTAAAAATAGTCAATGGAGAAAGAAAACAGAAAAAGGGGAAAAAAATAAGAACAGTAAAAGAAAATAAAAGGCCTGATCTACAACATATTCCACTAGAATTTAGAAGAAATACAGATGAGCAAAGAGGTTAGATATCAGAAATCATAGCTTGTCTTTAGAAATATCTAAACTATGGATTAGTGCCAAGTTTATACTAATACAGTGTCATGGATTTGATGTACTAAAACAGTTTTTCTTTAATGAAAAGAGGAAAAAACTATCCTCTTCTTCATTTCTTAATATTTAATATTTTGACTACAGTGATCTCCTTATCCAGTAACTTTAACATCATAGAATAAACAGCTCAGCACATTTAAAACTATCAATTCAAAGGTAAGGTCTGAACCACTTTCAAGCCTAAACTAGACATAAAAGAAGGCAGAATTTGTACAAATGTTTCTTACTTGTTCCAATGTGTCTTTGAATTCCGGTACAAGGATGGAAACATGATGGGTAAAATCTTTGCTGCATTATCACTAATTAAACTCATAATATACTCATTATTCCAGTAGTATAATGCTCGCTCTGCCACCTAAGACAACATGGAAGAAAGGAACACTTCTTTAGACAATCCCTTAAAGAGCATGTAATAGAAACATTTGGCAAAAATAACTGAAAGGTAAGAAGAATTTCAACTGAGATTTGGATTTTTATATCATTGTCCTGGTTTTAGTTAGGACAGAGTTAATTTTCCTCCTAGTAGCTGGTAGGGTGCTATGTTTTGGCTTAGGATGAGAAGAGTACTGGTAACATGCTGATGTTTTAATTGTTGCGGAGCAGTGTTTATACAAAGCCAAGGACATTGCAGCTTCTCACTCTGTCCTGCCAGCGGGCAGGCTGGGGGTACAGCAAGAGCTGGGAGGGGACAGACCCAGGACAGCTGACCCAAACTGGCCAAAGGGGTATTCCATACCATCTGGAGTCATGCTAAACAATATATAGGGGTGGCTGGCTGGGGTGGGGGGGTCAGCTGCTTGGGGTTAGGCTGGGTGGTGAGCAGTTGCATTGTGCATCACGTGTTTCATACACATTATTATTAGTAATACTACTATCATCATTATTGTTATTATTATTTTCCAGTCTTAATATACTGTCTTTATCCCAACTAACAGGCTTCACTTTCCCATTTCTCTCCCCCATCCCAGAGAGGGAGGGGGGAAGGTGAGCAAACGGCTGTGTTGTATTTAGCTGCCGGCCGGGTTGAACCACAACAATCATGAACTGGAAGCTACTCATGGAAGGACAGAAAACCTGCTTTTTCTTTAACAGAAAATCTGAGCAGAGACATGTTTGCCCCCCAGAAAAAGAGTATCCATAGAACTCTATTATAATCAGTAAAATGCAAAAAGTATCTACTGAAAATGTTCAGGCACTTCTGAAAACACCAAGCTTTTAAAAGTGGTATGCTTAACGTCAGAGCTTAAGTGAATTAGCCAATATGAACTCATGCATTATGCTATTGAAAAGAAATAACGCTGGCATTTGGATACCCCATTTTTGCCAAAGTTGAAGACTTTTTGCAAGAAATAAAGTTAAGTATGGTGAACAGCATCAGCGAATAATACCAAGTTCACTCTATACAAATTCTCATCGGATTGTGCATTCAGGAAATACAGACCTGAAAGTGTGGACTAGACACACATTTGGCTAGCTGTCTGAAGAGAGGCTCCATTACTTTTACAAATTCAGATGGTTCGATAACATCTAAAATCTCTTCTAGTTCATTTAAAAACATGACTTCTTTTGGACTGTGAGTCTTTGGCCAGTATTTCAGCAGTGCCATTACAACCTGCAGAAGCAAAGTGAACACAATTTTCATAAAAGTTGTCTAATCGCATATCATTAAGAAGTTCAATGTTTTAAACAGAACAAAACCCTCAAATTTCTTGTCCCACATGACAGTAGCAATCAGATATGGTTCAGTCACAGAAATAATAGCTGATAAGGCTAAAAACAATTTCTCAGAAGAGTTATACTGTTAAAAACTTGCTCAAAAATTATCCGAAGACTACAGAAAGTAACCTGACAGCTACCTCAACACGAATGTCAAAGTGCAAATTTGCTGATATATGATGGGGAAAAATTATCTGCCACTTAAGTGACAGCAGTTTTTAATCTCTTATTTCTTGGAGGAGTACTCCAAGGCTCAAGAAATTAAGCTCTATCACTATATTTTAAGGAAAGACTTACCATAAATACCCAGGCTGACAGGTGACTGACTACTCCAGGCAGATTACTGTTACACATTAAGTTTTATTTAATTGACTACATTACTATAATCACAGTCTTAAGGGGATCCATAAAATGTGATAGAAAAGGAAGCAATCTCTCAGAGGGCTCACAAGTATTCAGAAAGAATCTATACATCCGTGGGAAAGGCCTCTGAATTGAAAACCAAAAAAACTTTAATCTATTGAATATTTAAGTTGAAGAACTTAAGTCTGAAGAGTGATACCAGATTAGAAGTTAATATATTTAGCAATTGTACTTATTAATGGAGTTTTCAATTACATAATCACTTAAGTAACAAAAACATGCAAAATTATATTGAATGCATAATGAATACTATGCTATTAATAATATTCAAGTAAGACTTTTCTTTAAATAATATTTCAAAACACATTAAATATTTCAAAATGACTGGCATATCACTCCATTTTAGATATTTTTATAAGAAATTAGTATATTCTTGAAAGCACGTGTTTGTAAATGCTTTTGTTCTGTGGTTAAAGATTAAAAACAGAAGGCTTAGGACTCTAGTCACTAAAGGGACAGGATATTTGCATTCCCATGTCAGACAGTAATTTTAACTAGTGATGTTTTGATAAACTAAACCAATACAAACTGATGAAAAACTTGTGAATTAAAAAGTTACAATTCACATGTAAGCATATCTAACAATAAATGAACTGGTGTGTCAACAAGAGATACCTTTAATCTTTCCTTCTCTTGTTCTGCATTCTGACTTACTTTCCAGGAGCATGCAGGAAACTTTGTATTTCAATATATTTTTCTATGAAATTTAACTTTCATCTGGCAACTGTACCATTAAAATCTTATATTATACCTCTTTTTAAATCAATTTAACTATTTCAATAGATTCTTTGAAAAGTGTGCAACTTATGATTGCTTTTAGCTTGTCTGATTAATACTTACTAAAACATCCTGTATTTTAAATATGATACTCTGGGAGTAAAACTCAATGGAAGCACTTTCACCTGCATGATGCAATGTACTTTTGTGGAGACAAAACCATAGCACATACTTTTTGAAATTAAATTTTTAGTCACTGTACATACAGCAACCTAAAAAGCCGCATAAAGAACAAAAATATGACAGTGTTTGTCTAGTTCTAGATGTAGAACTGGAGAAAAAAGGCACAGAATTCTTGGAAAAAAGCACACAAGCAAAACCCCCAACAACCCTCTCCTAAAAAGCTTCTATACAGCTTTGATGTAGTTTAAGTTACAACAATCCATTAGCCTTTGTCTTAAGACACCAAACTTTCTCTCTTATTTAGGAAAAAAAGAGCATTCTTTATTTTCTGAAATGGATGATACTTTTATAAAAGTCCAGATTTTTTTTAAGCTTAAAAACTACACCTAAAATGTAACACAATCAATGAAATACTACCTCAATGAGAAATCAGTGTATGTTTATTGTATGTATCCATTTAATTGTCAGAGTAGATACTATGTCATTAATGAAGCCTTGGGAAATTTATGCAGATTTTATTTAATAAGATGTAAAACTGTCTTATTTGACAATTATGAGGGGAAACAAAGGGTTTTATTTTGTAATGACTGGAATTTTGGAAGGGGAACTTAGCACATGCATTACTCACCATGATTAAAAAATGTAAGCGTTATGTACCAATTTGGGATTAAAAAAAGGAAAATGAACTTGGATTTGTATTAGTTCAAATTCGTACTAGGAAATATGTAACATCCCAGTTGATATTTGGAAGAAAGCTAAGATTCCAAGATCTCATATGGCACAAATGTCAGATGTACAAGACGTGGTATTTTAAAGACTAGAAGCTCCAAGTAGAAGAGAATTCTTGCTCAGTTGTGCACTGCATTAAGATTCCGTTTCCATTTTACAATGGAAACAGTTATAATCTAATTCTATATCACTTTCGTTATTAGCAATCATTTACAGATTGCAACTTAGTGATTAAATGTGTTGGCTTAGTGATGCAAAACCCTATATACTATTTAGGACAGTGAGTATTCATCTCTTCAGCTATGTGCAGCCAGACCAAAGTCTGTTTTTGTTTATGTTCCAAGCTGGTATTTGATTCAAAAGGAGTCAGGATCTGACTCAAAAGCCTTGCATCAGTACGTAGCTGTGTGCCAGAAATCTGTGCTCTAGCATATCATCAGCTTCTCAACACAACACAGTTCAGGCAAGCAAGCATCTGACTAAACTGCTTCTGCATCAACTGTCTCAGATATAATCAGCTAGAACAAAATAAGCACAATAAAATATCTGTTAACAAACAGAAGAGATAATTTTCAAGTTGCATTAATTCATTTTGAGGATTCCAAATGGTTGCTGGGAAAAAAAATCCACTTGATAGATCGAAATGATTAAATATTTGACTCTTCTGATTGAAAACAATTACCTATCAATACTTTATTCCCCAAACCTCCTTAAGCAGTCAACAGATGAAAGGGATATTAATGTTCCAAAAACATATTATAGCAAGATAAACTTACTGGTTCTGTAAGTGTGCTGTCCTTTTCTAAAAACTGAACTACACAGTACGCCAGCTAAAATAAAAGAAAATATTTTATTAACACTTGTGAAATTGAACACACTTTGAAATCAGCAGTATAACTGGCAGAACACTACTGAATCCAGATAAAAACAACAGTTTTTCTGTAATTTTACAAGGTTATTTGGCAGACAATTTAAAAAAAACAAACAACAAAAGAGATAGCTGGGGAAAAATTGTTAAAGCATATGTACTCAAGTCTGTACTCATCTTCTAGGTTATAATAGGAACATAAACTTTCAACTGTTTAAAGACTTGTATACTGTCTCTTGAGAAAGCCAGAATTCACAGGAGGGGGAGAAAGGCTTGAACAGAAATTAACCATATTTATTCTTCTCTCATTATACAGTGGATCAGTGATCAGGATTGATAAATTGTTACCAGAAAACAAGGAGATACAAAAAGATAGGGTTAGTAAGACTGATTCTTTCTAATATGAATTAGGATACTGAAATGTTTCTTAATATACAAAGAGAAGATAGCAAAAACGGAGAAGAGACTACCAACAAGCAGTTACAAATCAGGGGAAGAAGCCTCACTGTTAAATGATTCTATCCTCTGATAAAGATACACTATTAAACAGTATGAAATCAACATGAAAACAGACTTTTGGACACAGGAACACAGTTTACTCACATCTACTAGATCTTTGCTCAAATGCCCTGCTTGTTTTTACATAGTTTTTGCTTTGCTGGTTTTAATTAAAGAAGCTTAATTCTAAAGCAAATGAGAAATCCATGTCCTAGAAGTTCTCCTTTATATAAACGTAATTGCTCACTTTAATACAACTCTAGAGCTTCCCTGAGGCAAATAGTCAGAAGCCAGCACTGCAAAGGCTGAATCAGCTCCTGTTGGAGAGGTAATAACCTGCATATCTGCTGGTTTCTCCTTTGGGTTGTCAAGAAGGAAGGTTAAAAACCTCTCCTCTTGTTATCAATAGGGAAACAGTCACTTTCCAAATCTCCAAATGAGATTCTTGTATGGGAATGGGAATTTGCACCTATTTTTGGTGATGAAATCAATCCGCAAACTACTGTTCTATTTGAGATTTCATCTTTTTGTTATGAATAAAAAGCTTACAGATCTCCTGGAAATGAACATGAAGGAACAGACTATGAAGCTGAGAAAGTAAATCTATCTTCATAAAGTCCACACACATGTAGAATAGCAAAAATTATCTCCTAGTTGGCCTTATCTAGGCTGCTAGTGAAAAGAGAGAGTGCCAATATCTGATTTAGCTACAAAAAGATGAAAATTTGAAGTGTCTTTACTGAAGATGTCTTTCTTTTTTAAAAAAAATGTAATAGTACATTAAATAATTTGGATTTAATTTTACATTAACTGGCAATTTATTCCCCTTTCCATACTTGTGAATTAGATTTTTTTTCTATCTTGTACTTCATATTTCAACTCATTTCCTCTTTTCAATCACAGAAAACAAAATTGTGATTTTAAATTCTGAAGTGCTTTCCAGTTGCTAACATTTTGGTGCCTCACATTTGTTTAAAAATATTTTCATCACCTAAGTTAGTCAAAAAAGCACAGAACAGTTTTAAATCATAAGATTTGCTACAATATGAGAAAGTGAACTAGTAATAACTATGTGTATCAATTTAAAGCAGATGCTTTAATCTAGAGAAGACAGGCAACCCTATAGGCAACCCTTCTTGCTGATATGAATGCAAGTCACTAGAAGGTGTAGAAGAATTAGTTTATGAAGTAAGGGGAACAGAAAGACCAATCCAGCTCAGGCAGGTTAGAACAGAAGGTGTCAATCATAGCAGACTTTTGCAACTGTTCTGTTACTAAGAAAAGTGCCAAACAAAACTTACCTGCGGATGGTAAACACTGAGTGATTTCACTTTGTGCAGTGGTAACAAAACCTTCAATAAGAATATTTTGTGCTCTTCTTTTAATGGTAAGGCAAATCCATTAATTATGCTGTCAGGGAAAGAAATTAAAAAATAAAAGTCAGCAATTACTCAAAAACTGCACTACTGTACTGCATGTACCAAACCCTTGTTTTCATAGCACATTTGAGAACTTTCGGAAAACACGGTGTAGCAGAAAAATGTAGATTCCACATGCACCAGAGACCATTTCATTTTTGATCCAGCTCTTTAAATAAATAGAACAGTCAAATCAACATCTGCCCACACCTCACCCAAATCTTTCACAGGTCCTAAATTCTTCTTCCAAGCAACATACATGATTATGTTTGCACTTCAGATTCTAATTTTTGTTTACGAACTACTCACTACAAACAAAGCTTTGAAAACATATTTTTATCAGCATTGTCACTGAATTAAAGAATGAACCTGAGACTGAATATTGGAGAGACTGACCCAGGACAGCAGACAAGGGAAAAAAAAACAACACATGGACTGCTAAAATGCTTGCAGAACCCATCCCCATCAATATCAGCCCATCAGTATAGCATGTTTACAGCAAAGAATCCTTACTTAGATGATAGAAATACTGACTTGGAAACCTGAGGGGAAAAAAACACTTAATTTTTACAACGTTAACACTTAAAGCCAACCTAAAAAAACTAAAGTGAAAAAGTCAGTGATGTAACTTTTGTAGATTTAGCTCCATCTTCTTGTATTTCAGCTTTAGACAGTCTTCAGTATATCTTGAGCAGTATTACTTGATTACTTTTATAGCATGTAGATGTAATGATAGATTTGTAACTTCTGTTAATCATTGAATATTTAGTCGAAAATTAAATAATTATTCCAGGCAGACATGTAGATATGGAGAATTTACAAAACGTCTTTTCAATTTAAACAGCATCCTGAGCTGCATTAGGAACAGAGTTGTTGGCAGGTTGAGGGAAGTGATCCATCCCCTCTGCTCAACACTAGTGAGACACATCTGGAGTGCTGGGTTCAGTTCTAAGCTCCCCAGGACTGGAAAGATATGGACATAATGGAGAGAGTCCAGCAAAGTGCCATGAAGGTGATTAAGGGACTGGAGCACCTCACATACTAGGAAATGCTGAGAGAGCTGGGACCATTTAGGCTAGAGAAGAGGAGAAGCTCAGGGGTCTTATCAATGTGTAACAGTATCAGATGAGACAGCATGTAGACAGAGTTGCTCTTCTTAACAATGCACAATGAAAAGGCAAGAGGCAACGGGCACAAACTGAAACAGGAAGTTTCACTCAGAAGAAAAATCCCTTTTTAATCTCAGGGTTGTCCAACACAGAAAAGGTTGCCCAGAGATCTTGTGGAGCTTCCAGCCCTGGTGATATTCAAAGCCTGACTGGCCATGGCCCTGAACAACCCACTCTCACTGACTATGCCCAGAGCAGAGTGGTAGGACTAGATGATCTCCACAGGTCCCTGCCAATTTGACTCATTATTTGATCCTGTGAAATTTACATATTTCTAAAATTAAGTGACATTACATTGTTATTTTTATGTGCAAAGATGAGAAAAAACTGCAAAGTAAAATAAACTATGCTTTTGAAGTGTATTATGTATATAAAATAAAAACTTGCCTATAGATGAGAGAAAGCAGTTGATAAAAAACACACCAGTTTTGACTGGGCTATCAGCTTTATGTTGTACAATTCTAGTTTCAAGGGCTTTCAGATGTATCACTGCAGTTTACTATAAGATTAACAGAAGATTTCTGAGAACTTACAACCTATCTGTTTACCTGCTACATATTTAGTAAAGTTGGAAGAATTTTTAAACAAATTGCAATTAGTTGCACATTAATCACAGCTGCATTACAACTAATCTTAATCACAGGGTTCCTAAGCTAGAAAATAAGACTTAAAATGTGATAAAAAATTGTCACACCCCAAAAATGTTGCTGTTACACTCAAGTTCTTGCTGCATTTCTGTGCTCTTATAAAAAAAATTATCCTCAGCTACAGCTTTGCCACATGCTAGGAAGCTATTTTCATCTTGTCTCATAACAATGTGCAATTCCCAACTCAATCTTTAAAGCCTCCTCTGAGGACAAAGCAAGTCTAATTAGACAAAACCTACAACTTACCTTCCCAGTATTTCCAGTAATTCTGCTATGCCATTGTGATGTTCTGTTTCATAAATAAACCTAAATAAATGAAAAGTTTTACTCAGTTACTGCCAAATAGAGATGCAAGGTGACCAACAAGATTACCATCTAACATTACAGGTAGCCTTCACCTCCCCAGTTTTAGTCACTCAGAAGAAAACAAGCACACAGTGGAAAAGAAACTTTGCAGAGTTCACCAGAACAATTTAGCAGTCTTACAAACTCTTCTAAAGACAGTGACACTGTCTGTACTTGATGGCCCTGTTCTATAGCAGACATGCACGCTCCATATAGAAACAAATCAAGAGCACATCAAGCTGCTCTCAACCTTCATGCTTGCTCCTTCCCTCCACATTTAATAACAGTACAGTCATTTGAGCCTTTTCCAATCATACTCCATGCCATTTCAATAATGCGAAATGGAACACAGCAAACAATGCTTTAAATATTAAAATAACACAGAGCATCTGGCATAATCAAATGCTGTGACTCAACCTTCTATAGCACATGCAAGCACAAGGTGTTCAAACAGTTACTACTTATGGATCTAAAGAGCTATTTGGCATTACAGATTCCTATGCACACAAAAGGCTCTGTAATAAACTGAGGAAGTCAAATTTTCCTGAATTCTTGTTTGACAGAACACTGTAATTTCCCATGCAATCACCTTTCCTGCATTTTTTCCAATTGCCTGAGTGTAAGTTTATTGAAAAACTTCTATGCACAACTTCAGGTATTTTACAATTATCAAAAATTTTACTTATTAGAAGATAATATTAATTTATTGGAAAATTGTTATCTATTTGAAAATTTGTCGTAGACCAACATACTAAAAACTACTTTTAATCCAGAGTATTTGATATGACTTTTTTCTCCTTAAAATGCTCTCCATGTAATTCAGGACGATTTCAAGCAAAACTAAAGACAATGATATTAAAACCTTAAGAGCAAATAAGCAGGAACATACTGGCTTAATAATTTAAGAAAAAATATATATTTCACACTAGAAAAAAAAGTAAGATTAGCATACCATGGGGACAGAATTTATGCAATCCTGATTAGTGACTAAAAGACAAAGACCACACTTCTGTTTCTTACTAGGCTTATGTAAGAAGACTTGCTGGAAAAAGTATACGAAAATGAAGCATTTTGAAAAATTCTGCACATACTTTGAGTTTGTCACATACAAACCCTTAATTCAAGACAGAAGTTGACACAGCTTTCCTCCCTGGTGTTCATATTCATGAGTTTACAATCAAATGCAAAAAGTTTCAACTTTCAGCTCAAAAGTATTACAGAAATAAGAAACTTTTTCTGTTTGATTTTCTCCCTTACAACTTGGTACAGAAAGGTTATTTCTGCAGTGCAAATGACATCATCTCTCATAAATTTCGGAGTGAAAAATATGGAAAACTGTAATGGTTTGCATTCTTTGTAATGAAGTCAATTTAATGACTGTAACATTTCTCAGTCTTCCAAAAGCCACACACCAGAACCATCTGTGTTTGAAGACTTTGCTTCTGCTACTCCTTGAAGTAAAGCACAAGAAGTAGCAAGTAAAAAAAAAAGTTCAGAAATGAATTATTATATATATATATATATATAAAAGTTCAGAAATGAATTATTATATATATATATATATATATATATAAAAGTTCAGAAATGAATTATATACGTGTATTTTTATCTAAGGACATACTGGCTCTAGATACGGCCAGTCAAGAGCTCTTGTCTGCAGGAGAGTGAAGGCTTCCCAATTATTTTAAAGCAACTCCTCTCTATCTCTTCTAAAGGCTCACTTGTTACCACATACAGAGAATGTACTGCTGCTGGTACTGCTCGTGCCATTCATGGAATGGTACCCAGTATGTGTCAGCTTTTTTGCTAGTTTCTTAAATGGGAAGTTTCATACATTCATTGTGGGTAGAAAACAGAGACATGATGGAAGGACTGTAAAACATTCACAGTATAATGACTTGTGGAAAAGTGTACCAAAGCTCGAAGCACCACCCTCCCCCTCGTAAAAAAAAAAAAAAAAAAGGAAAAAAGCTATAAAATGTATTACCTATAAAATATATTATTAATTTGTTTCCGAATGTAAGCTCTCAGGCCTAAGAATTTCCCGTATATTCTGTGAAGAGTTGTTTTGAGAAAATCTCTTTCACGAGGATCTTCACTGTCGAAAAGCTCTAAAAGCTGCAAAGAGGAAAAAAGAAAGGATGCACTTTACCTGAACCTAATGCATTGTAAGATAATATGGATTTGGAGCTTTAAGTTAAATATGTTTTGTTTTTAAAAAAAACCTTACCTGTAATACAAATTTCTGATCAATATATTTCTTAGCTATATTAGGTTGGAAATCTGGAGATTCTAAAAACCTTAAGAAAAATTCATAAACAAGCTGAAAAAAAAAGTCCGACAAAAAACAGTATTAGTTTTTTAAACAAGAAACCATTTTATAAGCAGTACATTACCAAAGTTACTGATTAGTTGCTCAGAACAGGACTGTTTTTATTTATATTTGTATAGCACACTTTTTAAAAATTTATATTGCACACAGTGAAAGCTTTGCTCCTGCCCTCTCAATGCAGTATGTTTTTATCTAGAGCAAGAACTCTGGGTTCTTTAAATCGCATTCAAATTCTGCTGAGCTCCATTGCTAGATTTTACTCATGGGACCCAGAATAATCTAATATTCATCATGCTCAGAAGTATGTGTCTTGAAAATTCTCTGTTCTCCTCTCTTTGTCATAGTACCTCTCAAAGCCAGAACTGTGCCAGAGTCAGATCAAAGCAGTTAGTGACAACGTGAAGCTCATTTAAGTCACAGCAATTGCATCTGCACCGCAAGAAACAGCAAGCCTTTAACCTCCAATACACTAGTGATTTTTTTTTTAATATTATGTGTAAATTCAAAAGTATTTTAGGTATAGCAGAGAAACGCAACTTACAGATATAAACACCTAACCTAAGTCATTTTGAGTCAATAAGCAATGATTTAAATGTTAAAATTCTATTAAATTACAACTTCCTAATCTTCACTAAGTACCTGTAGATGAGGCCACGCAGCTTCTAAAGTTGGTTCATCTTCCTCTGGATCAAATTCTGCTCCCGTTGGATTGGAAGATGGTGGTAATGTTCGAAACATATTAACTGCAAACTGAAATCACACGTGCCTTTAAGAACTCTGAAACAAGTGAATGACTATAAAAGATTTCAAAGATAATTTTTTACTGAGAATTCTTAACATGACCTATTTAGTTAACATCTGCAAAAATGCAAGATATGTAAGCTAGCAATTTAAACAAAAATGAGGTAAATTTATTTTTCTTTAAAAATTTTTAACTTGGAGAACAGTTTTCCGTGCAGTACTCTTGAAAGCACAATCTTGCTGACAGGATATTTTCTTTCTTTAAATACATTTTGAAAGTCCAAGCAAATATATTTATAAGTGGTTAGACAATATTTTTACATATACGCTTTAGAGGACCTCACAACAACCTTCAACAGCAGAAGTCAGAACCAGACATGGAAAACAAAGATTACCTGCCACTATTCTGTAAATTATTATTGCTTTCAAATCATACTCTGGGTGTACCTATATGGAAACACTTTAAAATCAAAGTTCTCTGTTCCCCTCCTAGTGATACTTCTCTTAAACCATGCACAGTTTGGCATCCTCATGGATGTGGAGCAGACTACGAAGATGAATTGCTTTTCAAGGTTCACATACACAACCACACACACACACAGGTACAAAGGTATAAATATATTTTGTGCTGTCAAGTGTTTGTCTAGATGCAGATTTGTAATGTGAGTGAACTGAAGTAGTATTTGCCACAAAGCCCTTTAAAAACTATTAGGGATTTTGAAACTGTTTTCAAGACAAAAAAAAGTTTTTAAAAATCTTAAAAGGCAAAAAGCATAAAAGTAAAGGTAAAATTTAAGGAACCTCTGCATATTTCAAGGTCAGAAAGGTTCTAGGGAAGATGGGCGCTGACTGTGCTCCTGCACATTACATTGTGCATTGATCATCACAGGTACTGTCAGAGCGATGATTTTGCAACAAATTTTGACACAAAACACTTTCCTAAGAGGTCCTCTTCTAGGTAAAACCACTTCATCACTGAATGCACATTGCTTGGATTATTTTTTTAAATGTAAATAAAAATACACATAATCAGGTATGATCACAATGACATCTATATATACAATACGTATAATCATAAAAGAATGTACACAACATTTGTTGGCTGAAAAAAACCTTACATGATTTTTGGATAAATTTAGCACACGTTCTCAAGAGTAATCTTACCTACAATGGCTTAGTGCAGACTTAAAGTCTGCAGTACCCTCAGTTCTCCACCTGAAATGACAGCTGGCTCCTTCATGGACAAGAAAGGACCGACTAGCTAGTGACTCAAATGGTTGTTCTGTCACCCCTGACAAGTTAATGATTAAACCTTTTACTGAGAAAGTTGCAGGGAACAGGTTTCTGTGCACGCCAGTAAGAAAAATGGAAAAATCCCTTATCTGTAAATGTAAAGACAGCTACAGCTGTCAATACCGAGAGAGACTAATTCCTCAATTCCACTTGTAATCCAGAGTATTAGATAGGGCAGATGTTGGTAGGAGACAACACTGATGAGCAAATAGAAAAATACAATCTATTTAGCCATGTAAGTGCATCCAAGAGAGACTTTTTGTTCTGTTTTGTTGCTTGCTTATTTGTTATCAAACCAGTACCAAGCAGCCTAAACTTACTTTTGAACAGAATGAAAAATATAGATCAATTCAAGTTACGGTCCTGAACTGCTTCCTCTACTTGAAAAAGATTATTTGATACAAAGGCTTCAGATTGAACACAATGCAGAAATGGAAAGATTGCCAAAATAAAAACAGTGGTTTACTATTCTAACCTTCCATAATGATCAAGTATATTAGGATATATACAGAAACTCTTTAAGGCTTTTCTTACTTATTCAAGCAGTGTAACAGATCGGGAAGTCTTTTTGCGAGAATTTAGGGGAAATCTGAAAAATACATTTCCTAAGTCCGGCTAAGTCAGATACACCTGATTTCCCAGGAAAAAAGAAAATTCTTTGCAAAAGGCTACATCACCAGGAGCAGCAGAACCATTTACAGAGCCTTTTCACGAAAGCCAATACTTGGCTCAGCAAACATGCCAGTACAGGGCATTTCCACAACTAGCTAGAAAAAAAAAAGATTATTCCATTGGAATTTGCATCAAACTGAATGTTTTGAGTATGCAAAAAAAACATTTTATTTAATTCATCAGCTGAGACACTCCTAAGCTCTCAACAATTAAAGGAAAAATCCTAAACCCTACATGATGGATGGGGTTCACTTATAACGTAGCTGTAGGGCTACTTTAAGCACACTTAAAAGTCTATTATTTATGCCATAGTATCAGTCTGATTTTCAATTGTTTTATGATACACATCCCATACACACATTTTTGTTCTCTTCTCACAGTTTTATTTATTTACTTTTACATATATATATATATATATATATATTTTTTTTTTTAAATAGTATCAGAACTTAGCTGCTTATAATTTGAAGATAACCCAGAAGCTCTGAAAGATTGAGCTGTCTAAAGATGTTGTTTTGCAGAGGAATCCACTCCACCCCTCTTCAGTGGGATTCTGGGAAGAGCAACAGAAGGCCATGTTTCCCTGCTCACATTCTGACTGCTTATCATTAACACCTCCATTCACAGTTTAAAATAATGCTGTACATTACTTATTAACTAGCAGGCTATGGAGCATATGTATGTGCTGTCCTGCCATCTCACGTCTGACAGATGGCAGAGCAGACAGTGGGAGGCAGTATCAAACTGCATCAGCTAAATCTGCAAGAATTACATCATATTCCCATGAAGGAAAAGTCATCCTGACACTCTGTTTTGCTTCATAATATTCCTTTATTTCAACTGAGCCGCAGGGTTGATATCGATTAGGAACGCTGTATCAGAGTAATTACAGTTTCACAAAATTAAAGGTAAAGCTAAGAAGGGGCATATAAATATAAAGATATTTTAACAGCATGGACTTCAAGAAACTAATAACCTTGAAGCTTTCTTCTAAAAAGGTGAAAAACTACAATAAATCAATGGTCTTCCAAAAAAAACATAGGAAGACCAGACGTGATTCCCACTTGCTAAGATTGCTAAGCAAATCGAAGAATAATCAGCCTTTTCTAGGTGAGAAAGGAAAGTCTCAGGCTAGAGAGAGAGCAAGAAGAAAAGCTGGGTTGTATAAGGTGTAACAGTTTTTTTTTTTTTTTTTTTTTGAGAATATCAAATGGAAAGAGTATCAAACCCAAAACAGAATAACTTGTTCCATGAGCGATGGAGCCTGATTTGATTGCCATTTTGTGTTTTGTATCTGACCAGCAGAACGTAGAATTGCTCAAATCAAGGTGCAGCATTTCTCAATGAAGACAGCTCTGAAACTCTTGTCTATTAAGCCACTAAAGTTTATGAAAATTTACAATGAGTTAGCATAATTGAGACCTTTGCCTTTTTGTCAACTGGCTGCTCTTTTCCCTAACTACTCTTTTTACCAAATAGACAAGATGCAAGCTGCAAAGCCCAATTTCCTCTAAGTTCAAATTCCCAGAGAAGAACTAAGCAAACACAGCATAAAGGATTGATTTATACTCCCCCAAATCCAACAAAACCCCATAAGCACCCCCCTGATTTATCAGATTTGAATTTTAACTGGGCTCGTGTGCCAGGATTCTCTCTGCACTTTTAGCATGGGCATGTTTGACTCCGAAGTATGTAATTCATTCAGGGGGATGGGAGAACAGCAAAAGAAAAGGCCAACAAGCTGCATTTTTACAGCTTCACAGACAGGTTTGCTTGTCATGGTTGTTGCATACCCTGCTCTTCTGGTGGCCCATTTTGTGTAACACTAGAGAAAATTTTCAAGCAAGTAGGTATCACAGAGATAACATTACACACATTTTCTCCTCCCTTCTGCTGAGCAGCCCAAGTGAAGCTTGACAAGAACAGCTCTGAATGATGAGATTTATAATTTGAGAGTCTGCACCCTCCATATTTTAATGAATAAAGCCATCCTAACAGCTGAATCGAGCCACATATAGTACACTTCTACTCACAATATCAACTCTTATTCCATATCAAAGGTCAGAGTAAACAAAAGACATACCCATGTTAACACCAAAATAACACTTAAAATAATATATATCCCCATGTGCATGAGTGTGTCATTTCATTTTCATAATACATGAAGAGTAGCAGGGAAAACTGCTTTAGCTGCTGAAATGACCTAGTTATAAAGTAAGATCTTAATTCCTTTATATTACCAACTTAAAAAGTCATATTGGTCTTTGTGCTTCACAAAAACATCGATTTCTTATACACAAGTACTACATCATCACCAAGGAAATTATTCTGGGGGCTACAGAAATAAGTCTTATTTACACAAGCTTTGGATCTACTTGTTTTTCAGAACACTACAACCCCGGATCTCAAAATTCAGCATTTCCTCAGCTTCCTCTCAGCTCTCCTCAATATCCTCTGACTGGTTAGCTGGGGAAGTGAATATTCATACCACTGTTCACTTTCATAGTCCCTCTTAAAATAGATACAATACAGATATTGCCCATCCCTTCCTGAGATGGAAAGCAGCATTCCTATGGGTCCATATTCTACACAGCTAACAATTCTCAGAAGTTTTCTACAAAACTAATAGCCTTAAATATTTATGTTTCTGATTAATTAGTACACAACAGAACAATCTCAAAGTCTTGTTTTCTTCAAAACCCAAGCTAAAATAAAGCATACATCCCTTTACTAAACAAGAATCCGCAACAGATGCTTTTCATCCAAACTATTAAGTTATCATTTACATTTACAACGTGTATTTAGACATTTGTCCACATGTCTTTCAGCTTCGAGATGTAAGTTTCTGCTTTGGGGATAGTCAATCCAATCTTACTATAATATACATGTACATGAGAAACGGAACTTGTAAAACAAGTCTGTATTAAAAACATTTCCCTTCCCATCACATTTTTGCTTACAAAGGTAAAGAGAATCTGAAGGACATCAGCTGGGTCCTTGAGGAAGAAGGGGAAGAAACTCTTACATCCCCCTCTGGAGAATAACATTACATCAATTTAAGAAACTTGTTTCTCTCGTATTGTTTGAAAAGACTCATGGTTAATGTTAAATAATTATTAAGCAACCAAATCAAAACATAGCTTAAAGACAAGATCTAACTATACATTTGCCAAAGACACTTGAAACACGAAGCAGAGGGTTGGGATGATGGGCACGAACATGACGTGATCACTTGAATTATAAAGACTGCTCTCATCAGAGCAAAAGAACAAATAAAGATACCGTAAAGGACAAATAATTTTTTATTATTATTAAATGGGTAACTTGTGAAATTTATTGCCCTAAGTTTTTGGCCTAAACAGTACAGTAACTAAAGCAAACAAAAATCTCTCTCGCTCTTACACGCACTTACGCGTGTATGTAGTCATCTATAGATGAGTAACCCCCAAGCTGTGAAGATAAACAGAATGGCACAGTAAAGTCCTAACTCCTATACCAACTACCAGCTCAGATAAAGAAAAATAAGATTTCATCTTTTCCAGCAGCCTCTACACTCATCCCTGACAAGACCAGGATGCTGAGCTAGATGGATTATTATCCCAAGTTTGGTGTAATGAGTCCTAACGTAGACAGGTCCCTTAAATTACAAAGAAGACAGCCATTTTACCTTAACATCCACATAAATATACTACTAGAATTTCACAAAAAGTACACCTCTTTATGTGCACGCCTGAAAGAGGCATATAATAATACTGCAAGAGGAATATAGTTGTTTCATTATAGACAACTGAAAGAAAACTTTTCCATATTAGCAGCCTTAAAAAAAATTGCTATTTGAATTTAACCTAAAAATCCTAGTCCAGGTCTGACAACAGCCACTGAAAGTGTCTGCCACAATGCTGTACAAGTCTTATACAAGGAAATCCCATACCCTTTAGATTCTTACATGTAAAAAGCACTTCAAATTCACTGAAAGAATTGTTAAACAGAAGCTCTGAGCCCATAGCAGAATGCTGGTAGTTCAGATGAGACAAATTCTGCACCAAGATTTATTAGACTGACAGAATTGCAAACTGTATTACCATTAGTTGCATCTGAAAGCAAAGGAAGTATGTATTTTCCTTGGTTAAATGTATCCTTGCCATTGGTTTTTGATGGAGGAAGATAATGTGGGCTCATAATGCAGAAGTTATGAATTTATGGACAGTTAAGACTCCACATAGAGCAAACACTAATGTCTTAAACTGATATTCAAGCCATCACCATGAATTCCATTTTTTCCTCTAAATCAAATCTCAGCAAGCTTATTCTTTCATAATTATTTTTCCATGAGTATCAAATATTCTCAAATGAATAATCGATTAGCAAAAAACACATACAAATAGGCTATCAAAACATATGAAAAGACACGATCACATGATATCATTAACCATCCTCAATGTTTTGTATACATTTGACTTAAAGTTGTACAGAATCCTCATATACTCAGAAGTTCTCATAAAAAAATCTGTATTAGTGAACACTTATGGTGCAAGCAATCTTTAGAGTAGCACCTTTAATACTATAAATCTTTAGAATCTACTCTGAAGTTGCTTCACAGTCTCTGATTTGGAGCAGGACCTCAACCTCAATATCTGACTGAGTTCACACTAATGTTAAAGAAGTACATTTTTCTTATCCCCCTGAAAGCTTGACCCAATTGAGTATTTTTGGGGGCGGGGGTGGGGTGTTAGAGGGAATAACTATCATGTCACGTGGTCAACATTTTTTTGGGGAAGCTTAGTAGTTAGCTACTTGGAAAGATGCTTTTCTGTCCTCAGCCCAATTGCTACCTCAGGCAACTGGCATACAGTCACCACAATGAGAGAAGAAAGACTCTCCTGCAGTTTCACGGCTTCCTCCTCTGGACTGAACTTAAACAGGACAGAAAAAATGAAGTGGGTCTAATTGGCTTGGATTTCGATAGTGAAAGGGAAGACAACACAGGTCTAAATAGTACATATAACTTGTTCCAGCAAAATCCTCATCAGTGTAATAAAGTCTGACTCTCATTCTCAGCTCCAAATGCAGAAAAAAAAACAATTTCAACCATGGGCACTGAATGTAATTACATGAGATTAAGTGTCAAGATTGAACAAGTGATGTTAATTCTAACAAACACTCAGACTTTCAGTTTTGTGATCTACTCGTTCTTTAAAAAACTAGATTATTTATACCCTTCACCCTCACCCTGCTTTTATAAATGCCTATTATAAAAAAGATTGGGGGGAGGGGATGGATGGTCTTTTTTATTTATTAAAGATTTCATTTTTGTCAACTTAAATCATAATTTATTTCTGCTGCAAATATGCATCCAATTTCTCTTACATAAAAGAGTCAACACTTGCAAGAGGATTAAAAACCTATTATATTACCATTTTGCCAGTGTGCAAACATAGTTGATCTTTTTGAAGATTTCAGTAGTATTTCTTAAGACAGATTGACAGAGCTGAAGAAGTAATTATGAATTAAAAAACTTCAGAATGGTTCCATCACTTACCATATGTACTACTTCAGGGTAAATAGGTTCTGTAATCACATTGCGATTGTGTGTGATATATTCTACCATTTCACTTAAAGCTGCTCGTTTTACTTCCTTCCACTTTAGGTCACTTAGTGGATCAGAAACAAAGTCAAAAAGTACACAACATTGTCGTAACTTCTGGATAAAAAGCTTTTCTTGATCAGCAGGAGGAACATCTGAAAAGTAAAAAATAATTGGTTATAATTTACGTTGTAGCAGATTTTACTTTTTCCTCATTTTTATTTCCCCGAGACACAGGTACTGCAGTGTTTAAGACTAAAAGCAAACTTCCCAAATCTTCAAAGAAATTGAGGAATATAATAGTCCAAAACATGAACCCCAGTAAAATACATTGTATGTGACAGGATGAATTAACAGAACTCCGAAAGTGCTGCGTGATTGCCTTCACTACAAATAGCTGCTGCACAGAAAAAAACAACACATACTTGAAAAAATGCCTCAAGAATTCCCCAAAGAGCTCAGTTTACATACAAAATATTATATCTGTAGAAATATTCTTTTTGAGTATTAAGAGATAAATCTTCGGTTTCATCAATATATTTAAGCCAGAGTCACTTTTTAAACTTGGGATCTACCACTTCACAAATTCAATTTTTTCCTGTCACGCATGGAAATAAACAGCAGTAACCACATCTAGCTAGGCACAGAACAATTATTTATTTTTAAAACTTATTGACACAAAAAAAACACTTAAAGAAAGTTGAGTAGATGCAGATCTTCAACTCTTTGCTCAATTTATAGCATCACTTTGAATGTTCTGGACATGCAAGAGATAGACTTGCATTATGAATCTTTTGAAGCATTTTTTAGGAGTTTGTTCAGTTAATTGTGGCCAGTACCGCAAAATTAAACACTGGTCTTCTAGAAAAGATCACAATTACTAAATATAAGTCATGAGTTTATATATACATGTGTGGGAAAGGATTTTGCAGGTGGCTCCGTGATGTTTCACACCTCCCCGAATTAGATAATGAGGAAACAAGCAATAGAAACAAAAATTTGAGAAAGGTTGAGATAAAGTAAATGGGCTACAGTGTTAAAGATGAGCTTTGGGCAGTGGCCAACTGCTGGCAGGCTGGAGGTGCGTGTCTGAGGGTCTCTACCCAATTGTATGACAGATTCAGGCACATGGACAGTGCGTGGGGCTACAGGGAAAGTATATGTAGTAGTGAAAAAGGGCAATAAATGCCTTCTGTCCAAATGCCATCAGGAGTCCATGTCTTGAATCCCTTCAAACACGTATACATATGTATTTATATACATACAAATAAAATACAAATAACACACAAGAAAATAACACTGTCAGCTCTCACCAAGGTGAAAATAAAACATGAAAAAAAAAGGCCAGTAAATTTTTGAATCAGAATGAGTAAATAATTGGTTTGATATTTACTGATTGTTTAATCATCACTCAAGTGTAGCTGGTAAGAATAGCCAGTAATAGGAACACTAACATTTCTGCCCATCTTCCTTTCAAGTCTCCCAGTGCCCCTCTTCTGCCCATTTTTATCCCTCCCCTTTCCTCTTTTCTAGAGGATCTTTGACCTGTGAAGCTAGTCTATCTATTCATAATGTTTCTGAGCAAGCTTGCTGGTGCTTTGTTTTACTGCTCCTCACACTTAAAGTGGCTCTTCTCAAGTGTGTACAAATCTACTTAATTTAATTTCTCTCTTCTGTGGTACCTTTTCAAAATACTTTTTTTGGTAACTCTAATTCTGTCTGTAACACTTCTATCAATTTACACATGCCTTTCCTTTATACAGTGCTTTGTGCAGTAGCATTTTTGCTGTTTGACAAGGATACCTAGGTTCTCCTAAAACTCTGAAGTCTAATTCCTGGGCTTTTTACACCTTAATCCACCGTGATGACCCTCAAAAATTAATTTAATGCTTGTATATGAAGTAAAATTAGATTGTACAGTTCAGATGTACAGAGAACTGATGAGAAAGAAAGCCAGCACTACTTTTGCCATCAGTACTTTCCAAAATAACAAACCTTCAGAAATGTAAAAATACACTCATATCAACACAAACCCACCAGTTATAATCTGAAGCAAGCCTAAATCACTGTGTCCAAATTTAGATGTAGAAGTCTAAATTTAGGTTACTGTTAAGAAAGAACTAACACTAGACTGCTATTTATAAATATTCATATGGTGACAACTTAAAATATCTCTTACATCTAACGTTTCAACAGTTATGAAACAAAAAGTAATGCCTCTAAAATTCTACACGGTTTAGCTGTGATGCCACAAAATTCCCCATGTGCTTTGCTTTTTGCCTAAGTGACCCCATGAGCAATTAAGATGATCAATGCATGAGACATTATAGTTTATTATACACAGCAAATGCTTTCAGGATCAGCACCTTAACTTCCAGTAAATTGGGAATATTTAAGTAACTGGCCAGATGTAAAGAAAACAGTACCATATTTTGACAGCAGCAAAAAAATACCTATTCCAATTAAAACGGCCATATAACCACAGCATTAAGTTCCAGACAAGAAATGAGAATATACCACAGAAAGCCTGCATAAATTAGCACCATAATACATTTAATATTTTTGCATGACATTTTTTTTATTGTTAGCTATGAACAGCTAAGCCTGATAAAAGACAAAAGTCTAGATTGCCTTCGTAAGAATGCCTGCAGTTTGCTTTGACTTCCTCCAGCTGATGGCTTGTCTTTTTCCTTAGCGCACCGTAAAATGTAAAAAACTTTCTTAAACACAAGCAGTAAGAACCACCACCAGACAAAGCATTTCAAGTGGTACTACTGAATATAAACACACACAGCCTAACAGATGAACACGTAATGTAATAAACTGCCTGACATATCAGCCCAGCTGATTAGTTAATATAGTGAGTAGCTCTTCTTTAAATGCTTGACAAATGTATTGTCAAGATAGCAAACTGGAGTGGTTCCTTCCTCCCCAAAAGAAGTTGCTCTCAAAAGTACTTTTGCTTTAATAAACCTGCATGACATATTTGGTCTAAATAAAAAAAAAAAAGCTACAGACACTGAATTGCTCCACTAATCGACCGCAGAAGAAAAAAACATAGCGGAAGAGCTCCAAAGAAGATACAGAACAACAAAAAACTGTAGACAAAAGAAGCCGTTATTGGTTACAGACTTCAGTGTCATTAAGGCACCTTGGATAATGAAGAGTTCAAGAATTAGGAAGAAGGTGCTAAATGACAAATGCCAACAAATTTCCCAGCAAATTAAAAATCCTGTCCAGTGTTGTGAACAATCTGAAAGTACTGTAAGCCACACAAATTGTATCTGAATACATATGCTTTTGTCTATTTATATTAAAAACTATAACTAATGAATAAATTTCTCCTGGAAAGAGTATTTAATGGAGTTGTTTGCATGCAGGAAGCCAGGTAAATTTACGACCTAAATGTAAAAAGTCTTGTTTGTACAAAGTGGTTAGAGTGGTTACCTTTTCCCAATTAACTAAAATGGAAAGTGGTTCAGCCTGAAGCGTAACAACATGATCTCACTTAGGGATACTGTGCTGGACACGTATACTGCGCAAAATCCAGAGACCTTAATCACACAAGTAATGGACATACAATTACAATGATTTCCAGTACACCAACCTGGAAGGAGAGGAGGCATTATAGCTATAATTAGTACTAATCTCTGAAATTCAAGGCTGACAACTAAGAAGGTCCAGGAACACCCTCACAAAGCAAGCCACCTGCATCACCACTTATGAATTGGTTTAAATATTTTAAGTTTAATAATTATCGCTCAGTGATGTGAGAGATAGTCTTTCTACAGACTGAGAACCTCACGTATTTGTAAGGAATTGTTTGTCACGTCCCTTCCCAGCCTTTTAAGTGTTCATCAACAGCTTTAATATGTCCGGACCTCAATTCTCTCATGGTGCTTGCCTGGAGTACTTGCCATCAAGTCAAGATCATTCCTACAATTAAGGTTTGAAGGGATGATTTCAGGATGACAGAGATTAGTGAAGGTGGCCAAGCAGCAGACTGGATAGACCAGAATTTTTGTACAGAGAATGTACGTGCACCTGTTTAATTATGAGATGCCCCAACAAGTCATTTATCCTTAGCCACATGCCAGAAACTATCTGGCTGCGTGCTTTCCGTTCACTGTGCGACAACTTCTACATCATCTTCCACTACAATTAATTGTAATCTCTGACTTCTAATTGCTTAAGCTAACTGACATACTCAAAGACCATTTTACTAGGTATGATTTATTTTTTTATTTTTTTGGTAATTGAGCAGCTCTGGTGCTCCATCCCTCAATGACCGAGAAGGCTGTGGTTATTTAAAGGTACTCCTTATCCCCAAATTGACTTTTGGTGCTATTCACTGAGTAACGCTTAAAAACTCTCCCTTTGCTATTTATATCACATATTCAATACTTACAGAATTTGCTTAAGTGTCTTAGCAGAACACAGATGATTTCCTTGCTTTCACAATAGAACAAAGTTTTTGCCTCACTTAAGAAAAATAGAAATAGAAAAAGAAACAAAACCAGAAAACATTACAGTTCAGTTTCTAAGTGCCCAGACATATCAGCAATACTACATCACACGTTTGCATTGTAGGACTTCAGAGAACTTACCGTTCTCTGGGTAACTTTTTCAGTCAAATATAAAAGTCACCTTTCAAGTACTGTATTTTGTGTTATCACCTGGTGCCCGTGACTGACTCACTCTCTACCTTTTCCAGAGAAAAAGAGACCTTTTTTCTATGACAACAGTGTTTACCAGCTGCTGAGGGCAGGACAAAGGCAGGCAGGGTAAGCAGGCGACTCAGCAATGTCATACAGAACAGCTGTTTTCACATACAAATTGCCACTGCAATAAAGCTAGAAGTTGAAAATGTTCAGGTCATGGTCTGACAGGAAGAACAATACAGTTGCTACCACAAAATATAATTTGTGGTCAGTAAGACTCACTACATCATTTTAAAAGCAAAAAAACGAATCATAGCTGAGAACTTGCAGAAAATACATAGAGGAGATACCGTTCGTTGTAGCTGTGTGAGCACTTGCTTGTTTGTGAAGGCTCAGCAGAGGTATCAGTTTTGCTCAGTTCCACTTTATCAGAAGGAAAAATACTTTTTTTTTCTTTAAAACAGTCTGATATTAAGAACTACCAATCAGATTAT